TTGGAAACCCTATGGGCAGTTCTACTCTGTCCTATAAAGTCTCTATGATTCAGAATCAAACATGATGGTAGTGGTTTTGTTTTTTTTCAAATGTTAGCTAACAGTAGCATTACTATCCATTAATTATTCATTGAACATCTATTACGTCTACAACGAAGATGCATATCTAGGGCCAGAATTCATGTAAATACTAAAATAAATTTGATTCTATTTAGAATAATTTAGTATACTACATAAAGAATTCACAAATAAATTATTATTGATAGTAGTAATTCAGCCCTTGGAATTTCCCTATCAGGTTTCATGTACCCAAATTTTATCTGCCACTATGCTTAGAAGGAAGGTTGGGCAATCTACTTCCGCAGTGATAACGCCTTGGAAACCCAAGGAGGGGTCGCTACGAGTTGGGTCCAACTCGACAGCACACAACAACAACAAAGCACCAAAACGCCTTGAAAGCATTCTAATCATAGTATGTGATATTTGAGTTGGATTCTGTGTAAACATTTAGGCTACACAAATGGAATTTACTGGGTAGTAGACAACAGATAAAGTCTTCAGAATGTTAAAAAACAAACGAACAATTGCTTGTTTCTATGAGAAAAATCTAAAATTTCTCAATATAAAATCAATATAGTTCATTTTTCCAGTAGATATTTTAAATTTATTTCCTTTTTTTCTTGTTAACTGAGCCAGGACTCATGAGACTTAATTGGGTGGTAGAAAAAAATAAGTAAGATAAAGATTAAAAAAAAAAAGAAACAAAAAAAAAATCTTTGATTAGTACCACTACATCATCTTTCTTTTTGCCCCACTTATTTTTCTAATTATAGTTTGCTTATGCCAGTCTTCCTCTATCTATACTCTTGTGCACACTAGTTCTGAAAGATGTTAATATAAATTTTGGAGAAAAAGGGTTCCCTTGTCAAGAAAATCTGGAGATCACTCCGTCTCTGGAAGAGTACAATGCATATTTAGCAAAAGGTTCTGAGAAGTACTTCAGTAAATAAACTTGCTTAAGCCATGGTTTCCTATATTTAACTTTCCACAAACACTTTTTCGTGAAGCAAATTTTGGGGAAACATTAACTTGGACTAATACTAAAATGATATAAATATTAAATGCATTCCCTGAGCTTATGAGCTAAAGACAAGGAGAAATGTTTAGAAAGATGTCAGAGAAGAAAGCTAAAGCTAATCTTCAGTGAACAGAGAGCAAGAAACTAAACTGATGTAGTACATGAACTTCTAAAAGTGGAAGGAAGATTAACAGCATCCTAAGAACCAGAATACTGAAAATATACTATTGCAACTATTTTAGAGAATAAGTTGGATTGGATAGATGTATTTTCTTCCCCAATTTATAATTTTTAAACTATAAAAACAGTATGTTTACTATTTACTAACTGGCAAGCTCAGAAATGTTTAAAAAACCTCTAATTCCATTATCTCAAGACAACCAGTCATACTTCCTTGCAGTCTTTTTCCTATGGCAATTTATTCTGAAGAGAAAATTTTAAGGTGTTAAAGAGCCATAAAAAATTAGCAATCTATACTGTTTTACAGTGAAGAGTTTAGTTTTCCCACCCACCTCATGCTTTTACTATCAGAATTAAAATGCGTGAAAACAACACACATTGAACTTAATGAAATTAAGCATCAGCAGCCTTCAGTTTTAGTATTACTCAGAACTGTTCATGTAGATGCTAATCTCTAAAAATGAGAAGTGGGAAAGCGATGGAAAGAGAGGAAACAAAAGCTATACTATGGCTTAACAGAAAAGCTCTTAGAAAGGCTAAGGCTAGAAAATCTGTACAAAAATATACTTAAAAATCTAATTTAGTAGATACCAGCATTTCTAGAATATCATAAAGCACTTTGTATTACTCCTGATTTGGCTACTTTGTTTTTAAAATGTTTTAAATTCTTTTATTTTTAACTGATTATGGATTTTTCTTTTCATTGGGTTATAATAATTACATATGCTTACAAACTAATATAAGATGATTCTAGACTCAAATAAAATTGCTTTTAAGTCTTGATATGTTTTATAAGATTCTAAGTTTTATGGCAACAACTATGATTTGGAGAGGAAGAGGGAGACTACCTTGGACTAGAAGTTGAAAGATCTGGGTTCTATTTCTAGCACTGACTTTTAGTAGCTGTGTGACCTTGGATAAATCACAATCTTTCTGAGCCACAGTTTTTTCATCTACAAAACAGTGATTAAATCTGTCTTGCTGTGGTAAGGATCCAGTGCCAACGTAACATAAGAATCAAACACTGGCTGTCTTTAGCCAGGGGAAGTGGGTGGCTTGGGGCAGAGATAGGAGGAAAATTTTTTACTGTATTCCATTTTATACCTTGTTGTTGTTGTTACGTGCTGTTGAGTCAGACCTGACTCATAGCGACCCCTCCTTGGGTTTCCGAGGCAGTATCACTACGGAAGTAGGATTGCCCAACCTTCCTTCCGAGGAGTGGCTGGTGGGTTTGAACCGCCAGCCTTCTGGTTAGCAGTCCTTAGAAAGTTTAAATATGTGATGTATTATTTAGCCAAAGAATAAATTAAATAGGTTGGTAAGATTCAAGACATTTTCAGAGATAGAAAAATACTCAGATTTCTAAGTTGCGTTCTATATTTTTTTTTTTCAATACTTTGTTCTCAGCACTCTGCTCTGGGCATTTCTTTCACAGGGTTAATTTTTAATACATGAAATATTTATTCTATTGAAAAGGTACTTTTAAACTCTTTCCATAAGGCATTACCAATATACCTCTTACATAAACTGACTTTGTAACATGATACATTATTTGTATAGGTAACACCATTATCAGTAGAACAGTAATAAATCAATGTTTTTCACCCTATTACCTCAAGACTAGTAGTATTTGTGAGCTATGAATGGCTACAACAGAGCAAAAGCTCACTAAGCTTCACTGAAATTGAAATTGAACCAGCAACTTTGGCATCATTTTCAGTGAGTTCATTCAGCCACCCACTCCTATGAGTGTGCACTGTTAATGATGAATAAACCCATTCGGAAAATTTTGAGTCACATTAGTGACAGCTACATTGGTTTCTTCTTTTTAAAGTGATGCTATCTTAAACAACCAATAGCTTTGCTAATAGTTAAACTGCACACATTTTATTATTGCACAATCATTTTGTACATATTTGTTTTTATGTCTGTTTCCCTCAACAAGACCAGGGGGTCACTAAAGGCATAAATCTTTCTTTGTAAAAATTTGTAGGCATCTGACTGAAACAGAAATGGCATTGTGAAAATATATTACACATCTTTTTTTTTTTTTTTTTTGCAGTGGTCCGTTCCCCAACCAACAAAGAAAGTTCCCTCCATATATAAAACTTTCCTTGACCCTCCATAACAACGAACTAATACTATATTTGTCCTTCTGTGATTGACTTATTTCACTCAGCATAATGTCCTCCAAGTTCATCCATATTATGGAGAAGAACACATCTTTTAATATTTGAAAAATTTTACTGGGTTATGATGTAAACAAACACCACCTTAAATGAAACCACTAAATGCTCAAAGTACCCTATTAAGTAAGAGAAGGCACTAGTAAGAATTAGTTTTATACATCCATGAGTGTCTCCTATGAACTGTAACAATTCGATGAAGGTAGGTATCATCTCCATTTTAGAGATGAAGAATCGGTGTTTAGAAAATAAAGTGGCACACTCAAGGTCATACAATGAGTTACTGGCAGAGTGAAAATCAAATCTAGACCTGTTCAACTCTAAGGCCCAACGTTTGTTCACACATGAAATTTGTAGAGACATTTTTCTTTAACTTATGAATTAAACAACTTGATCCTTAAGGTAGAGAGAAAGGACAAATGTGTGGACATCATTATCATTCATAGTTTTAAAGTCACATGGTATTATAGATAATAGTATCTAGGGCATTTTATAGCTATAACTTGTTTCAATTCGCAGATTCCTCTTATATTGAATTCTGAATAGTGTTATACTGAAATCTCATTACATTTTACTCAATATAGAGATGAGTATAATCAGAATTCATCTCGAATTCCATACTCCATCCAATGATAGTTATTTGGACTTAAAAAAAAGTCTACCCTAAAAGCCGTTATCTCCAAATAAAATTAAGTCATTCAGAGAATTATCTCAAATACTTTTTGCTCTAGAGGAAATTCAACAATAGTTTATTTTCCCACAAATTCCAATTTTTTTTCAAATTATTCTTTCTCTTAATTAATATACCACACTTCAGCCTTAGCACTTATAATAATCCCCACACGATGCTACTACGGTTTATCTGTGTTTTCAACTTTTCACAAGGGAACTAGATTGAAAAACAACGGGGATATCTCTGCAGCGGAAAAACTTCTCACATGTCATAAACTAAGTCTAACGGAGACTGGAAGGTAGGTACCGCAAAAAAAATCCTCAAAGATAAATACTAATGAAAGAATATTTCTGGGAATGTTTAATCAGAGATTGATTTCCCAGTATGGAGAACATTAAGACACAAGAAAAGCAAGAATTTAACGGCCAAGACCTTAGCACAAAGTCCAAGGGCCAAATTCAGTAATATATGTTCGTTCTAACTCCACTTTTAGATCTAAATATGCTCTTCGGTGAACTTTAGGTGGGGTCCGAACAGGCCAAACTCAAGTGACTTTCCTCTTAAGGGAAATCTTAACCCAAGGGCTACTCATTAATGTGCAAGTTGTATCTCCAGGGACCGAGAGTAACCAACTGGAACGGAGATTAAGTCTTCCCTCCTTTATCTCTACCGAGGTGACAAGGTAAGGGCGCGAAGGATGCCAAGACTAAAAACTCGAGAAGAGATAAATCTTCTCTTGAAAAACTGCCCTAAGAACGCAGTCTCAATGGAGTCTGGATCCGTTCAGGGACCTGGATATACCTGCTTGTGAAAAAAAAAGCCTGACGTGGGCTCAAGACCCCAGTGTCCAAGACCAGCCAGCGGCCACCCTTCCCCCACTCACCTCCCGGAGCGCAGTTTAACTGGAGCTCTCTGAGTAACCGCCGCCATCACCATTGCCATCACGCTGAGCGTTCGCTGAGATTGAAAAGGCTCAGCCGCTCCCGCACCTCGTGTAGGTCCTACAAGGCGGGTGCTTTTCTATAACCCCCCCCTCCTCGGCGCTCGGTCCTGTCAGACGTCGCAGTCACCGCCTCCGCCTGCTCCCCAGGCGCTTCCACCACTTCCGTATTCGATTCCTTCCCTTCCTCTCTTACTCCCCCAGTGTCTCGGCTCTTTTCCTTGTAACCGGCGCGCAGCTGACGCTACCACCCCGCGACCTCCGTCCGGGCCAGCGCGGGGCGTGGGCGGGCTTACGCACACGCCGCGTACCTAGCGCGCCCGAGCGCGGGAAGCTTCGCTGTGCAGGTGTTTGTAGCTCGTTTGTTCTCAGTCCTGAAAGTTGGATCTCCTCGGTAAGCATTGATGCCGGTTGCCCTTGCCACACACCAAAGAGAAACCTGTCGTCCTCCTGGTTTATTGTGTGACAAATCCTCAGTTGTCAATCCTACTTTTGCTACTTGAAAGCGGGAAACGGCTCAGAGTGCCGGCGGGAGGACTAATCTTCTGTCCTTTCAGCCTTTTCCCGGCTTTCCTGTCTTTTAAAATAATACTAGCTTTTATAAAACATTTTCAGGTACATAAAGGAAAAGATGCCTGCCACACAGAAGCCGATGAGATATGGACATACAGAGGGACACACAGATGTCTGTTTTGATGATTCCGGAAGGTAAGATATTTTAAGAAAGAACGTTTCAGTTGTAAATATTAGAACATGTGTTTTTATTACTTAGGCAGTCAGTTTAAAATGACTTCTTCAGATAGAAGTGTTGAAATCTATAATAGCAAATATATTGTCTTTAGATTTATCGTTTGATTTGGAACGCCGTTGCCGTTTTAGCAGACAAAAAAACGAGTGTAAAATCTTACATGCAGGGAATCCCTGATGAGGACTTTCCTAACGTATTTTCCTGTACTCCATTTCTAAACAGTGATATTTTCCCAGGATTGTCTGGAGGCCTTTTACCTTTCTAAATTCTGTTCCTATTCAGTGCATCTGATTGTGTGCCTTTGCCCACTTGCTCCTATGCAGATTGATTTATTGAAAAAATAGTTGAGTGGCTTCTCTGATGGGGGCTGGAGATACAGTTGTGCAAGCAAGAAACAATATTTTCTGTCACTAAGCTTAAGGTCTTTTTGGATTCACAGGCATTAAGCATAAATTAGCCACAAAAATAAAATATATACTTGGAAATACTTAGCGAGTGATGTGTTTAGGGATAAGTATATATGAGAGTAAGCTTATATAGTTTGGGGAGGCAGGGAAGGCTTCTCTGAAGAAGTATTTCTTGAGATGAGATCTGAAGATCAAACAAACGTTGTTGTTGTTGTTGTTGCTATGTGCCCTTGAGTCCGAGCGACTCATAGTGACCCCTCCTTGGGTTTCCGAGGCAGTATCACTACGAAGGTAGATTGCCCCATCTTCCTTCCGTGGAGTGGCTGGTTGGTTTGAACCGCCAGACTTCTGGTTAGCAGTCAAGTGCCTTAGGCATTACGCTACATAAAGAAGTGAGTGGGGGAGCATGTTGTCATTCCAAGCAGTGGGAACGGTATGTGCAAAGGCCCTGTGGTAATAGAGACCAAACTATGTTCAAAGAACTAACCAAACCCACTGCCGTGGAGTTGATTCCAACTTCCAGCGACCTTTTAGGACAAAGCAGTTTCCGTGGCTGTTAAGTCTGCAAAAGCAGCTGCATCTTTCTCCTGCATTCTCAAGAACTGAAGTATAAATATTAGAGATTGATGAGAGATGAATTTGTGAAGTAGGCAATGGATAGCCCATATATGACCTTCTGGGCTTTGTTAAGGAATCTTGTTTTTATAATTCTTAAAGTAGTAGTTGTTGTTGTTGTTGTTGTTTGCCGTCGAGTCGGCCCCGACTCATAGCGACCGCTCCTTGGGTTTCCGAGGCAGGATCACTATGGAAGTAGATTGCCCAACCTTCCTTCCGAGGAGTGGCTGGTGCGTTTGAACCGCCAGCATATAGCTCGGACTTAATACCTCCTGGAATTCAGGCTTCAGGTCCTGGCTGGGAATCTAGCTGTGGGGTTTGTCAGTATATAAATGGTATTCAATGCTATGAACCTGAATGAAATGCCTTAATGAGTGAATGTACATAAGGACTAAATCTGGAGTTAGGATACTAGAGGGTATAAAGTGAAAAGATAAATAATTAGGGTTATTAAAGTGGAGATTATAAAGCAGCTGAAATATTGATAAAGATCATGTAGGTTATAACCATGGGAGTGAGTGGCTGAGATGGGCTGGGATACTAGATTATTGGAGTACAAAATTTCATAGAACTGAGAAGTCAGAGTATCAGAAAGTTCATCTATCTAGATATTGAAAATATAAAAAATTATGATAGGAGTAATGTTGTTGGAGAGAATAATAATGAGCCAAGAGCTAAAATCTTTACAGAACAAGGGACATTTCTCTTCAGAAATCTGCATTTGGTCTAATGGCAGAAATTTAATTTTTTTTTAAATTTTAATTTTTTCAAAAAGAGTAGCATAGGGACAATGAAATAGAAGTGAAAAGAATGTAATGAAGTGAAAGGAAGCCCACGTCCTGGCCCAGGGAGGTGCAGGGTAAGCAGTGTTCTCAGGAAATGTCCAGAAAAAAAAGGCAGGGATGGAGAGTTTGCTAGTCATGATTCCCCATGTAAAGGTTGGGATGGAGACATCAGTTTGCAGAAGGAACATTGATTGCTCTGTGAGGATGAGAGTCCATGTGGTGGGAAATGCTTTTAGTAATCATTGACTTCTTTTTTTTTTTTTTTTCTTTAATTGTATTTTGATTTGGGTGAAGATTTACAGAATAAATTCACTTTTCATACAGCAGTTCACATATACTTTGTCTCATGTCATTGACCAAAATT